TCATAGAGGTGATAAATAGAAAGTTAGATCGATGTCAGATGCCTACATGATACATAAATGGATGATAGATAGATAGATAGATAGATAGATGATAGATAGATAGATAGAGATAGACAGATGGTAGATGATGATAATAGATAGATGATAGATAGATAGATATAGATAGATAGATAGATAGATAGATAGACAGATGGTAGATGATGATGATGATAGATAGATAGATAGATTGATTGATAGATGATAGATAGATAGATAGATGATAGACAGATGATAGACAGATGATGATAGATGATAGATAGAGATAGATAGATAGATAGATAGATAGATAGATAGATAGATAGATAGATAGATAGAAATGCATAAATAATATGTGGTTGCATAGTTGGTAGGTGGGAGAGTAGGTGGATGGACAGATGAATGAGTATAGGTGGATAGACAGATGGATGGATGAACACACAAACAGACAAATGGGCAAATAGTAACTGTGGAATATGCTTGCAACATTAGCAAAATCCCAAAGGATGTGGAGAATGCTCATGTCCCGATCTATCATGTCTTTCATTTCTGAGCCAGTGACTCCATAGGGAAACATCAGTTTACCTAAGGCCCCAACACACTTTCTATGTTGGGAATGTTACTATTGATCAATATCTTAGACTTTATTCTCTATACAAAGGATTCTGATGTTTACATGTTTAAAATTCGCACACTCCAATGTCAAAGCCACCCCAGAGATCCAGTCACAGAACTATGACATCTTTTTTTAAAGTACTTCGCAGCACTGAGTGTTGGCCCTTACCTGAAGGTGGATCCATTCTGTATTTATTCTCTTGACACCAACCAACTGGTCGAAGTCTGTAATCCAAGTAAAACAACCACTGGTCATAGGATTCAGTGTCCTCCAATCCCACATAGCGAAGGCGTAATCTTCCTCCAACATTTTCAATCACACTAACTATCCAGTACTGAAAAGGGTTCTGAGAATCCTGAAGTTCTATTAAGGAATCAACTGTAATGAGGTCTATAGGGCCTTTCCCTCGCAGAGGCTGTTTAAACAGAAGCAAAACTCCTTATTTTAAACTTTATTTTAAGGTTCTCATGGAAACAGATGACAGCAGAAGATAATATTTTTTTCACACCATCATCCAAGCTATTGCCAAACAGTCTGGCATTTCCCTCCACCCCCATACTCTGCACAGCCATCACCCCGCCCCCTCCCTTTCTTCCCTCACACACATCCACATATACTAATGGCATTCTAACAACAAAATCACAAGTAAATAGAAAATAACAGTTTATACTTGGTTCTTATCAAACAAATCATCCTCTCCTATAAAATTACATTTGTTAGAAATTAGTATGTTTCTAAGTAGAATGACACTCAGATTTGCCTAGAGCTGGAAAACATGTGGTAACAAAAGTATTTCTCAAATTGACTGATGTGTCTAATACAGGGCTATAAATTTAATCCATGACATCCTAAGACATGGTGTCTATAAGCCAAGACCCTCCTGTACACAGTGTACATAAATGAACTGCAGCTGTGTATAGATGACATGTTCATGTTCACTTACATTCAACTTGTGTATATTCATGTGCATATGCAAGCTCCTTTGTGTGTGGGTGGGTGTGTACATGGTACATGCGTACATGTCTAAATACATACATGAAGACCAGATGACAATCTCAGGTGCTCCTTGGGCATCATCCCCCTTCCTGAGGGGAATAAAGCCCCTCACTGGCCTGGCCCTTCTTGATTAAGCTAGGTTGGCTAGCCAGTGAGGCTCAGGGATCACCTGCCTCAACCTCCCCAGGGCTGAGAGTATAAGCAAAGGCTTTTTAAATATTTGATTCTAATTAGTTAAGTTACCGATTAACCTGGTAATTGGTTTGGAAAACATCCAAGTACTGCCACTTCTAAGTAATCTTCTAGACACATGTTGACATGTGAAGAGTGTTTGTTAGCCAGCTTCTCAGGCAAATATGTTTAATGATTAACACAGTAAAGCAACTTGCCCCTTTGAAAGGCTGTATAATCATCATTTTGATTTGTTAACCCAACAATAAACATAGTAGCTATTAAGATAAATACATCAGGCAAAAATCATCACAAAAGACTTGTGAACTATATATCAAGTTAAAATAATAATAATAATAATAATAATAACAATATACAATCCATATCTTATTCCCAGTCATTCACTAAATGCTCCCCTTTTCTGGGGTACCTTTAAGACAGATTTGGTCATTTAATAACTATTTATGACACAATACCTTTGTCTTCCCAGTCAATTATATAATATAATTATTCATGTACCATTATAACAGTTTCAAATTAACCATCAAGATTTCAGATAAAACAATTTTTTCTTCAGCGCCTTAACCTTAACTACATTTAACAACTACATTTAAATACAGTCAGACATTTCTCCTCGTTTGTAAGGGGAGAAACAAATTCAATTTTTAGCTAACACACGTGTGTTGAAATCATGGAGTTATACATCCGAAATGGAACATTTAATGGTGCTACTTATCAGTGTGCTCCATGAGCCTACTTTAAGCACATAGCCATGCTTAGTCAAAAATTATCTTATAAGATTTATTTACATTCACTAACATAAGAAAAAGGCTTAAGGATAATGGGGAGACATCCTAACACGTAATTCTAAAATGCACCCACACAGAGCAAACTTCCCATTTATTAATTATAGCACAAGAAAACATTAGCCAGTGCCATTAAAACCCATCATCCACGTAATTCAGTACAGACAGGAAGTTAGGCTTTGTGAATGTGAACATTTATGTGTACACATGTATGGGCAGAAGGATATATGCAAAGGTGCCGTTAGGTCTGAAATCACAGGACCAGACACTTCAGAGCTATAAGAGATGAGTAATAGGAATACATACACCTTCCAGAAGGTTGGCAGGTGCCGTCCTAGAACCAGTCAGATCACGTATAAGGAATTCTGTCCAGTCTGTATACTTCTCTTTGATTGCTGTTAAGACAAAGGAAAAGAAAACAAAGCAAAACACTTTATCACATCGGAAAGTATCAAACAAGTAAGAAATCAGTGCAGTGCTCTGCATGTTGGTATTACTTCAACTTCAATATTGAAATAGCATTTTTAAGAGTACTGAAATTAGGGCCACAAATCTGTCAACAAGTAGAGACTTCCCCTCTACCATGCACCTGGGCATCTAAGAGATTAAAGAATCTGTGGTCCTCTTTGAGATGCCATCGTATCTCGGTTAGAATGGTGAAGATCAAAAAAAATGACAGCAATGCTGGCCAGGATGTGGGGAAAGGGGAACAAACATTCACTGCTGGTGGAGTGCAAACTAGTGCAGTCACTGTGGAAGTCAGTGCAGAGGTTCCTCAAAATGCTAGATCCAGTCATACAATGATCTCTACTAGTACCTGTTGGCACTTGTACACATAGACACACATACAGAGAGACACACATACACATAAATAACAGATAAAGTAAATCTTGATTTTTTTGTAGTTATAAAAAGTCTTCATAGAACTATCATCAGAAAGGGACTCACTAGAACATCAGCTTTCTCCACCACAAACAAATCTCAGTCAACATTTGCCCAGTGCCCATGAAGAATCAAGTTCCAAAGAAAACCATCATCTAAGATGCTCCAGCAAACAAGGGTGGAAAGTACAGTTTTATATTCCACAGTAATGTCCTAGCCCCTGCTCCTTTTCCCTTCTTTTATGTCTTCCCCACACATACCATATAGAATACCATTTTCCTTATTTTACATAGGCATACTCATGTGGAAATACATATACTAATATATGGAGTAAAAATTCTGTTCATGCTGGGTGTGGTGGTACATAGCTTTAATCCCAGCATTCAGGAAGCAGAGATAGGTGGATCTCTGTGGGATTGAGACCAGCCTGGTCTACATAGGGAGTTGCAGGTCAGCTGAGGCTACAGGGAGACCCTCTCTCAAAAAGACAAAAAAAAAACTGTGTTCATGTGCTCTCTTCCATCAGTAGCAATTACAATAATCATTTTTCAATGGTATAGGATTTTAAAGAATTTTCCCCCACTCACTCACAGTTCTGAGGGACTAAATCCAGAGCCTGGCATGTACTAGGCATGTGCTCCATCACAAAGCTACAACCACAGGCAAGTAGACTTTTTATAAAATTAGTCCTCTGCACGGCTAAAGTAACTGAGACCAGAGGCAAAGACAACATGGTAAATTAATTAAAACTTGCATGCAGCTTGCGTTTTACACACAAGACCTTCCATTCACTTTATTGTCTTGATGCTCTTCACAAGGCTAATCTCGACTACTAACCCTTCCCCACATTCATAGAAAAAAAATAGGGGCAGAGCTGGAGAGATGGCTCAGTGGTTGGGAGCACTGGCTGCTCTTGCAGAGGGCATAGGTTCGGTTCCCAGCACCCACATGGCAGCTAACAACCATCTGTAACTCCAGTTCCAGGGGATCTGACGCCCTCTTCTGACCTTCGTGTGCATCGCACCACACAGGTGCACTTATGTACATACAGGCGAAACACTCATATGCATGAAATAAAAATAATAAAGAATATTGTTTTAACTAGGGGAAAGGGGCTGGAGAGATGGCTCAGCGGTTAAGAACAATGACTGTTCTTGCAGAAGACCCAGGTTTGAATCCCAACACCCACAGGGCTGCTAACAACTGTCCCTAATGCCAGTTCCAGGGGATCCGACAGCCTCTTCTGTCCTCTGCGGGCATTGCACCACACGGGTGCACTTACCTACATGCAGGCAATACATCCATACACATAAAATAAAAATAATAAATAATTTTTTTTTAAATAGGGGCAAACCCAGCCTCAGACTTCCAAGTATTTAGATGCCAGTTTTTCAGGGTATCTTTCCACTATAATCTATTGACTCTGCAAAGATTTTACAAATAGATAGAATGACGACCAAAATTTTAGGCATGTTGGAGATGGCATGGACACAACTGTTTATCCAAAAATTTCAAGTTTAGACAAAATATACAACCATACCCAAGAAATATGCATTTTATAGCACATTACAACAACACCAGGAAAGTAACAAAGGGCTCTGTGCTTCACAGAATTTATGTCTACACCCACCACGAGGGGATCCAGAGGGCTCCGTGCTTCACAGAATTTATGTCTACACCCACCACGAGGGGATCCAGAGGGCTCCGTGCTTCACAGAATTTATGTCTACACCCACCATGAGGGGATCCAGAGGGCTCCGTGCTTCACAGAATTTATGTCAACACCCACCATGAGGGGATCCAGAGGGCTCCGTGCTTCACAGAATTTATGTCAACACCCACCATGAGGGGATCCAGAGGGCTCCGTGCTTCAAAGAATTTATGTCTACACCCACCATGAGGGGATCCAGAGGGCTCTGTGCTTCACAGAATTTATGTCTACACCCACCATGAGGGGATCCCTTTTCCCCTCAAAGGTTGTTTCTAAGAAGCACACAATCCAAGCCAGATTTTAAGTTAAAAATTTTAAAGTATTCAAACACACTATGAAGAAGCAGAAATTTAAACAATCAAACAGGCTAGCAAGGGGGCCGTGGAGTTGGCGCTGACATTTACATATCTCCAGCCCTGGACTCCAGAAGTCTTCTTATTTTCCCTTACCACATTTCTGTACAACACTCACAAGTGATCTATTAGGTACCCAGGAATGTCTAGATAAATTGCTCCCAACTAAAATTTGTATCGGTAAGGTTGTGAAAATATGCCAAATGTTTTCAGTTAAAAATAGAGATGAAACAATTCTCAGAAATCATGGACATTTTAAAAGAGCAACATTTCTGTCAACATCTACTTCTCCAAACTCTAAATTTTCAAACATATGACAAACCTATCATAATAAACATTGCTGTAGATGGTCATAAATCTTGAGGAAAAACCCCAGAGGTTGTTTTCTGGCTGCCACAGACATGTACACATATGTGCACCTGCACACATGTGAATATACCCACACAGAAAATAAGTAGATAGATGATATATGATAGAAGATAGATAGATAGATAGATAGATAGATAGATAGATAGATAGATAGATAGATAGATAGATAGATGATAGATGGATAGATGATAGATGGATAGATGATGATAGATTAGATAGATAGATAGATGATAGATAGATGATAGATAGATGATAGCTAGATAGACAGACAGACAGATAGATAGGCACTGCCAGAAAACAAAACTAAGTACAAAAGGTTTATAATGCCTACTCTATTGGAAACTTTTTAACAAAATTTCCAATTTGGATATATTTCATTACAGCTCAAGTTGCCTGGGAATTTCTTAGCGTTCCTTGCAATGGAAGCTGACTGGCATTGCCTCCTGTGTCTACCTAAGCTTCTAACTAGAATGGTTAATGCCTTAAATGCTTACAAAATAACACATCTCATCTCCCTTCAAGACTCGGAATCAAGAGAGTGTGGATGTAAGAACAGGCTCATATGAATGTCAATCAAATCTCTGCCCATAATGTTTCTTTCCAACGGAAGCACTGACCATTCCACACGTTAAATCTACCTCAGAAAGTCTACCACCTGCTCTGCACCCATCTACAGCACACAAGTGTTCTCTAAGGGCAGGAGAGAAATGGAAGGTTCTGTAATTTCAGAGGGAGGAAATTTTACCCAGAACTTGTCAATCATTACCCCATGTTTCAATGCACAGAAAGTCCTAGAGAAGTATGCACTCCAGAGCTTTCATATTTTAATTTTTTCTTTCTATTTAGTGAGTGTACATGTGTGTGTTTGTGTGTGTTCAGGTCCACATCTGCATGAGTGTGTTGTGGCCAGTGGTGAGCCTCGAGTGTCTCCTCAGTGGCCATTTATTGAGACAGTGTCTCTCACTGGTCTAGAATTCACCAATTAGGTGAGGCTGGCTGTTTCTGTCTCTGGGATTACAAACACTTGCCACCACATGTGGCCTTTTGGGAATTAGAATTTATGTCTTCATTCCCATGTCACAAGTACTATATGGACTGAACCATCTCCCCTGCCTCAATGAAGATCTTTTTAAAACCTTTCTCCAGAATATTTTTGAAAGTTCTGTTCAACTATAGTATGAAAACACAAGACTCTTTTTAAAACTCCAAGTTAAATATTTCCCAAATGTGTCATTTGGGAAGGAGCCCTCATCATGACCATGAAGCTCAGACAGGGAAAAAACACTTTGTGAAGATGTTGAGAGATGATCCCAAATCCTGCAATAGCTTCCTTAGGATTGGAAAGCTATAAAAAAGAGTATCAGGCAGGAGATTACCAACATTTTTCAGAACTGGGAGAAACACCTCTACATCAAGCGAATGTCAATGCTGAGTTCAACGATGTGTTGTCTTTCAAGGGCATTTTCTTCTACAAACACTAGTGTATGGGCACAGCTGTCCATTTACGCAAATGGGGACAATGAGAGTTGGAGTTATGTGTCACATGGACCCCCCAATGGAGGCACATCCTCCTCAACTCCTTCCCAAGTAGGCTGTGGAATAGACAATACCCTGCCTTTCTGCTCACTGGAGGAGGAAGAAAGGTCATTTTCATTACAATGCCCCTAGGCAGCACAGGAAAGGTTTGGATCTTCTGTTGTGTTGTTTTCTCTGAGCAATTTTCTCAGCTCACTTTTCCCAGACTCTTCTTGGAAGGTACCTTGTGAGCTGTAATTTCAGTTTGCGATAGTTTTTCTTTGGTGCCTGGAATTCTTTCTGTGTATGTGCCATTTTTAAAACCTCTCATCAAGGCAATCTGAGGTTTTCCCTCTCCTGCTCCCTGAGTCCTCTCTCATTCTGAGGCCTAGTTTTCCTCTCCATCTTTGTCTACAGTAGTAAAGGTTTTCCTGGGACATCCGCAATTCTTGTTCTGAATTTGAGACAACAGAAAACCCAAAGGACAGGCCTGGGTTCTGGAGCAGAGGCCTGTAGTAACTCAGGGTGGGCATCAGGTGTCATCTGTGAAGTTTACTACTAGCCT